ACTAGTTTCATTATAGCAGTATTAAAGTATCATTTTAATTCTACTATAGTTTCATTTGATAATATACACATTATTGCTTGAGTTCTATTTTTATTTTATTTTTTTGTTTCATCTTTCACACACATTAGTTTAATTATTGTAATGTTAAGTATTATTTTAATTGCACTTCAGGTTATTTGACAATATATGTTATTGTATGGCTCTGAATTTTAGTTTCATTTTCCACGCGCACTAGTTTCATTATAGCAATACAAAAGTATAATTTTAATTATACTACAGTCTCATTTGACAATAATATGCTTTGTATTTCAATTTCATTTTTCACAAAAGCTAATTTCATTATAGTAATACTAAAGTATCACTTTAATTCTACTATAGTTTTATTCGACGATCATGCATGGTCCACACAACGATGTGTGAACCATGGTCCACTGTATAACAACGGATACAGTAATAATAAGACCAAAATTTATCTCTACCAAAAAAAAAAAAAAAAAAGATAAGACCAAAATTTATAGTCGCGCACTAAAATTAGATAAATAAATAACTGAAGAAAAAAATTTCAAAATATTACTATAACGGGCGACCAAAAATAAAATGAATTTTTCGTTTCAATTAAATTGATGAATTCTTTGTATTTGATTGCAGTTTCATTCTCCCAAAATAGAGCTATAATAAAAGTTCAAAAATCTTCAATAATAACTAAATAATTAAACATCCAGAATGGACAACTATTAATTCTTGTGTTCTAAATCACTAAAAATGATTATTAAATTCAAATACACAAAATAATATAATGCATGCCCACTCACATACACACACATTATATATGTTTATTATTGCTTTCTTAATGGAAATTCATTACTTTTAAATAACTATTTATTAAAAATAGTATTTATCAACACTCACATAGTTATGATAGTTGTGAAGTAATTACATTTATTTTTAAAAATATTTACTCTTTCCGTCCCACTTTATGTGTCTAGTTCGACAAACAAACGAGACTTGACTGAAATTATTTTAATTCAATTTTAATCATATTAAGCTCAGTATTAATATATAAAATTTATATATCTAGAAATTACATTAAAAGTACTATTAAACAAAGAAAATTAAATTAAAGATAATTAAAAAATACTAAAGAAAATAAACAAAAAAGAATGAGTATAAAACTTTTATTATTCATATTTGGATTTTGAGTCAATATTTTGACTTAATCGATGTTTGATAATTTTTTTTTAGTACTACTGATGACTCTGTTACAATGTAGTATCTGTTCATTACTTTCTCAACCTATTGAAAGCACAAAGAGTTAATACCGTCCCGACTGAAAAATTTTGGAAATTCATTTTGGTCCTCAACCGTCCAATTAATGGTATTTGCATTAAATGTGCTTCCAAAGTAGTAATTATTTTACCCTGTGACGATGTAAATTAAAGTAGATTTTGAGCATCCTTAATTTTGACCTTTATTTTGTGAATTCATTGTTTTTGAATCATTTGTTTAATTCTTTTTCTCTTTGTAATCCATTAGATTATGGGAATTGAATGATTTATAGTGTAACTGTGTCAAATTAAATAAAAAAAAAATGTTTTATCAGTTTCATTGTCCAGTTGATTGGTTTATCAAAAGGTTGTCGCCGGAGAAGAAAATCCAGCGTGTTTGACATCATCTTGATTATATTCCGATCTTGATAAAAAAAAAAAAAAGTCTTGCTTTTCTTCCCTTTCTGCTCCTTTGTTCTTTAAGCATTCAAATCTCCAAAACTTTCTTTCCTCAGTGAGACTAACGGTTTGTTCACAAGCTCCCAAAGAGGTGATTCTTTAACTCTTGTGTGTGTGTGTGTGTACATATAAGAAGGTTGAGGATTGATTTTAAACCATACTAAGAGCAATGGACTTATTCACTAAACTATTAGAACATCAAAAATTTATGCATTTCTACTACAATATATATAAGTTAATGTTGGTCTCGGTAGGGTCGAAAGGATAGTCTAGAGAGGGGGGGGGGGGGGGGTGAATAGACTCAATTCGATTTCACAGAAATAACTCCTTTCGGGGTTATTACGCAGCAGAATAGTTAAGCGAGTTTTATATTACTTTGCACTGTTTGTTGCTTTATGAGAAATTTTGGTTGTGATGGAGTATGATATGCAATGCACGAAAGTAAGCAAGCTGAAAGTAAAGAGATAGGGACGAGAGATTTTTATAGTGGTTCGGCCAACTGTGCTTACTCCACTCTTCTTTCACAACTTGTGAAAGGTTTGCACTATCACTCCTAGTACAAACTACACCCAGCTAGCTTCCTTGATCACTAAGCCGGACAGCTGCTTGTAGGTTTTTCAACTCCTAGAGTTTACTCCGCCTCTATCAACGTCTTCTTCAGAGTTGAGGGTTGGTAGAAAAGATTTGCGTGTTTCTCCAACTGGTTGAAGTCTTGGCTCGCTGGTTGGATATTGGATGATCAAGATATACAATATGCAAGACTTCTTCAAGGTTGTGAAGATGAAATCTGATAATTCTTCTTGTAAGCTTCACACCTTAAAAACACTGGTTTTCAAAAGCTTGAGAGAGTGAACTAGTATAAGGAGCTTTTGAATATGTATGATCAGTTGTAATAAAAACCCGCAACTTCTATCATAGAGAAGATGGGTATTTATAGGAGATAAAACATCCATCCGTTGGAGGGAGATGATATTTCAAACCTATGATCCAGTGGTTAAAGACCGGAGAGCCTGGTGCATTTATTGCTTCATTAAATGCAGCTGTATCATATAGACGTTGGAGGCAAGAACTCTTGCAAGTTTTGTCTTCTAGCTCTGAAAAGTGGTACTATGGCATTTAATGCACCTAGATAAGCGTGCTCTCATTCTTAGGATTACTTATTCCTAGGATGATCCATCAGCTGAGACATTTGACAACATTGTTCTTGAGTTGAGAGATGATAGATTGTCTTGGCAGTCTGAATTTTAGATATAATGTCTCTGGTCGAAAGATTTCTTTCGGTTTCTGCTTTCAATTGTAAGGGATCATATGTTCATTCGCGGTTTGTCTGAGATGTAGTTCTGCTTCATTAATCAGCTCTTCTTTCGTTTAAAGAAACCTAACTAAAAGATCATAACTCGGTTTCGTGTGTTTGACTAACTTAACACAATTTACACAGTGAGTTATGGTACCTTTCGTCTAAGACGAAGGTAGCGAAATAAATGACAAAAAGTTAGGGGTCTACTATCTAAGTTACAATGGTATCATCAAAATCCTAATACATGTATTCCTAACAATTTCCCCCTTTTTTATGATGCCAAAACCTATACTCTGCTTATAATGCTGATAATTGTCCCATAAAGGATTTTTCATTTCAACATAGTCAAACAGAAGAGTTTACACTTAGCTTCTAAGAATTATGAAAGATACAAGTAATTAAAAATGGGTAACAGAAGATGACTTTTATAGAGATCAAAAGCACTTACAAAATATTGTCAAAGGCATGGTTGTAAAACTTTTACTTGTCTAAAAGTTTCGCCGTTTGTTGCTGAGCTTCCTTTCGTTCCTTTTCATCTCTTTCCTTCTGTTGCTTGAGCATCTTCTCCATGTCGATGTCTCGGTTGATATGCTCTCGGAACTTTTGGATCGGATTCTCTTTAACAAGATCTTCATACTTTCCTTTAATGTTGCAACTCACATAGTTATTGTATGCTTCGAGGAGGTCTTCTCCTTCAATAATGCCGAGATTCCACCAGGCAATGAGCTCAAATGAGTGCATCCCTTCGGTGTAGTTCTTCCCTGATTCTATGTGGATTTTGAATGCAGCATTATATTTTACTCCTGATTCAGCATCTTTCTTCACTTTCGTTACATCCTTTATTTTATCCCTTATCCTTTCTCGCTCATTCAGCTCTTTCTCTCTATCAAGTCTCGCCTCTTCTTGTTTATTCCATAACTCTAGGTTTGCTTTCTTGATTTCACCATTCCTTTAGCTTTGATAGACTTGCCTAGAGTAGTTGTCTTTCTTCTTAATCCAAATAGGTATATTGTAACCTTCGAAGCGTTTTCCGCTTCCTTCTTCATATGGTTGATAAGTGTGGAAATTTCCTGTAGCGTCCATGGTTATAGTTTCCTTTCGCATCAGCCTTTGGCGGAGGTTTTTCTTCTCTATGTTCATTTCTCCGAAGAATGAGAACTCAGAGGTGGATCCGAAAGATTGACGAGGTTTGATGGGATGTTGTCTGGATTTTGAAGAGTGTTGTTGTCGAGATCTAGATGTTGGAGGCGTCGATCTCGTGTTTCTTGGTGAGCTTCTTCTTTCTTCATATCTCGTGGTTCTTCCTTCACTGTTTCTTCTAGATTCACCGGGACGAGATGGTGATCTATTTCTGTCTTCATCCTTATCGTCATCCTTTCTTTTCTTTTCCCCCTTTTTGGCATCATCACACGAGGAGGCAGAGAACCTGGTCAGATTGTTAACCGCATTAAGGACATCCTTGACATATTCGAGCATTGTGAGCTGATATTCTCCTATCCGAAACATGTTGTCATGCCCTAAGTCAATCTCCGTGCACGCAAGCTCAACTCTTTCTTTGAGGCCGAATTGGGAGAATTTGAGAGCATTCTGTTCTTTTGCAATTTTGTCGAGAAGATCACTTTGACGATGGAGTTCCTATGTTATCTTTTCTTGTAAATCGACAGTAGACGAGCTTGGTTGTTGTTGAGATTTGGTCTTCATCAATTGGTCCACCTTATCACACAAGTTGGCTAAGGTCAGGCAGTCGTGCTCTCGATGAATTAGGTATTGTTGATGTATGAGCTCGGCTTGACGGACTGTGCTCAGCATCTGATGCATAATGTTCTCGGGATCAAGCTGCTCGAGAGTAGGACCTCTTTCGGGATAAAGGAGCATGGTTTTCGAAGAGCACTTCTGTGCTCAAAGACAAATGGCAGTGCTCGAGGTGATGCTTCCAGTGTGTCATCACGAGGTGATGCTTCCATTTTATCATCACGAGCTTAATTTGCAATAGCTTCACTGTATCTTGGTGGAGGCATAGAGTGAGCCGGATCACGAGGGGGATTGTCCTTGGGTGGAGATGGGCAAGGTGCGGGGGATCTATCAGGTATGTATTTGGTGTTGCCAATGATAGGAGATTCGCTATCATAGCCCGAATTGTCATCATCGTCATCATCATTATCCGAATCATCATCATCATGTTCATCATCGTCGTCCTTCTTCTCATCATCTTCTTCATCAGCGTCATTTTCATCATCATTCTCATCATTTTTGTCGTCTCCGCTACCATTGTCACCATCATTTTTTTTTCGTCATATGGAGACTCATTTGCTTCAGAATTAGCTTCACTGCTTTCGTTTTCTGCATTTGTTCTTCCGTCTTTAGCGACATCTTCAATTTCCTTCCCTTCGTCGTCCTTGGATCCGCTAACATTGTAGGCAGGATCATTCTGATGGGTCCTTTCTAACTCCGTTTTGACTTTGGATAAGAGGAGAGCATATCAGAACTCTTTCATTTCTTCTTCAAAAACTGGATCCAAAGGCAGCTTAGTTAGTTCAATGCAGATGGGAGCTTTGTCTTTTCCAATAGTGTGGTTGGTCACTTTGTAAGAATACACTTGATTTATGATTTCGAGACGTGTGGCATTGTAAACGTCTCGTGTGCCAAGCCAGTCAAGAGCAAAGTCTTCTTCGTCCTTCATTTCGTCAAAAGCTTCAAGGAATGTTTGCAGAGGTGAAGTTCGGCATTTTTGCCATTGCATGACTCTCTTGAAGTTAGTTTCGATTGAGAGTCAAAGCAGTTGGTCTCTTGATGGAGGAGGGTTTTGAGCAGCTTCTGGTACAGGTACAACTGCTCTCGTTTCTGCTTGTAAGGCAGGTACTTGAATAACTTTAGGTCCGGGTATTGCTTCTTTCGGATTGGTTTCAAGCTGTGGAATCACTTCTCTCGTCTCGGCTGGCTGGCTAGGTTCTTGTGGGAGACTTAAGTGATTTGAAGATTGTGGCACACTTTCGTCCTCGTCTACCATAGCAGGTTCTTGTGTCAAAATAGGAATTATCTGCTCTGCACGGGTAGGTTCTTGTGGGAGGGAAGTTTCGGCAACCGGTGTTGATAGAACAATTTGATCATTGACTACTTCTCTCGTCTCTACTGGCAAGCCAGGTTCTTGTGGGAGACTTAAGTGGTCAGTGGGAGCTGGAGGATTGCGGGTATCCTTCTCCACCTCAGCAAGTTCTTGTGTCAAACTCGCGTTGAGTTGCTCTGCCAAGATGAGTTCATGTGTTAAGGAAATATGCCTCAAGCTTTCTGCACTTTCAGATCTCGTCCTTCGCTTCTTCGAGGCTTTTCGTGATGGATCTCGTTTCTTTTCTTCACCCTGATAAGATGCAGACTTCTTTTTCAGCTTTGTTCTCAAGTTGGACGTAGGAGGAGGAGCTAATCTCGCCATGATTTCATTGGCTTTAGCAATAGTAGGTCGAAAATGACCTTTCGATGCTTGTACAGGGCTGGATAGAGCAACATCTTCACCTTCGGAAGAGTCATCAATGATAAGAGGTTCTGTTATCGAAATTTGGGGTGTCTTTTGAAGGTCTTCTTTCTTGGTATCAGCTAGAGGTTCTGGTTCTGTGGTCTCGGGAACTGGTTGAGCGTCAGATGGAACTTTCGTTGCTGGTGCAGGGGAGACTTTGTCTTTCTTCGGTTTCTTGGCCTTGGGCAGATCATCATCAGTTTCTTTGGCCCTTTTGGACTTACGTTCATTTTTTCACCGAGTCCAACGGAAATCCTAGCTCTTGTGCTTTCTTCTTGTCATATCCAGAAGGTTTGGATTTCATGTGACATACCTTTCGTCCAGGGGAGACTCTGGCGCGTAGGGGAACTTTCTTTGTGGCGAGAAGATGGCTTACCAAAAAGCCAAAGCCAATTTTCTTTGTAATGTCTCCTGGTGACGATCGTCCATAGGTGATGACATGTTGAAGTTGATTAAAGACAACTTTCGACCAGTCCACTTTGTATTCCCCAAGAAAGGCGTGTAGCATCTTCAACTTGTCCTTGGTTACATCGTCTATCCCCGAAATCTTGTGTTCTACGATTTTGTCGAATATGTCAACAGTGAATTCGTAGTTTAGTCGAAACCATTTCTTCTTTAAGGGACAGGTGATCTCGGTTGGTCTTTGTTTATTCTTGATCTTCTCATAAAGTGCATTCTGTTCGTAGTAATAACCAGAGAAGTCCGAATGGTACGTCTCATCACGGTCCGGAAAGTTAAAAGCTTTCCTCACGTCTTCAATGGTTAGTGTTATGGCGGTGCGATCGACTTCCGATGAGATTTCTGATCCATCGGTGGACACTTTAGCGTTCATATAGAACTGAGCGACGTCCACCGGAAACCAGTACGTATATAGGTGGGTTTCAAAGTTGTACAACCCACTCTCTTTCAAGAGATGAATGAATTTCTCTCCAAATGATCTGTCAAGGACATACTCAAGAAAACCATGAGCATCCCACATACACCCGCGTATGATGAATGGGACCCTTGACTCAATAAAGTTGATGTCGGAGGTTGGAAAACTGGGTATCACCATTGTTGTCGGCGTTTCCTGTTCGGCGTCTGATGCTGATGCTTTGGATTTCTTTGCCATGGCTTCAGATATGGAGGTATGTGTTTTCTAAGTTTGGGAGGGAGATTGGATGATCACGGAGAGGATTTGAGACTTAGAGTATTAGAGAAGTTTTGGAGAGTTTTGGAAAAGTGACAGGGAGATGATGGTTTAGGTTATAATGGGGTAGATCTTTCAATGGGTTTTCGCATGGGCCAAGATATTTATCCTGGTAATCCGGCCTGTATTTGAATTTGAATGAGAGTGACTCTTCCCATTCTACGAAAAAGGTAATCTGATATGGTAAGTGGTTCTGATAAGGCCAGTATCAGATCAGTTTTGATCATTCCCAATTAAATATGAGAGAGAAAAGCACTTGAGTGCAAAATACCCGCATTAAATGTCTGTCGCATCGATTGACAGTAGAACATGGGGTAGTGGGCCGAGGTTTGTGGCCACACGATCACTTCGACCAACCCCATCGAATGGTTAGGGTATAACCTCTCATTTCCAAGTAACCGTCAGTGCATTTATCGTCTAAGAGACATGTGATTTGTCACGAGAGTCAAAAAAAGATTTTCATGTTGTGACCAACTGGAGAAAGTCTCGGTTAAGAAAGTATAGCGAGAGAGAACACACGAAACATATAGATGAATTATTACAAAGACGAACATAGACAAAATTACAATCATCTCTCGTCCTACATTAGTACATAGGGTACTTTCATCCTTAAGTTCGCTTCACCCTTTTGTTGAGCTGCTCTTCGTCAGTCTCTTGGACCTGCTTTTCACAGAAGTCCTTCCACATAGTGTAACTTGGATCATTCTTGAAAGCATCCATCGTAAGAGTGGATGGACCTAGTGGAGAACGAATGTTCTGGAGGATAGCCGAGGGAAGCCTCTTGGCAGCTGAACCATGGGAGCTTTCTCCATGCTCAGAAGAAAGGCTAAGAGATTTGAACATCTCTTGAATTTCCTTCAAGTCTTTCTTGGGCAAGGCTACAGAGGAAGATATCTTTTTCTTTCCCTTATCCATTTTCAAAAGATAGAATAGTCATACCATTTACAAAGCTTGTCTATTTATAGGCAAGGAGGTCCATCCATATCGAGGTATGACACATATTCCATATGTGAAGGACTTAACATGAAAAGAGATCAGTTTCTGAAAAGACATTCATGAGTTCCAAGGTTTCGAAAAGAGATTCCTGACGAAATGATATAGATGAGACATAGCGTGCTCAAAAAGATAAAGTGAATCAAATAAAGATTTACTTCTCTTTTATTGTCATTTCGTTTTGTCTCAGATCGTGTTAGTGAGAATACGAAACAAGTAACGTTTCGAAAACACACAACGAGAAGAAGTTTATTAATGATAATCAGAGAGAAACATTGGCATCCACATAGGATTCAAGTACATAGGACATTATCAAACGAAAGGAACTTATTTCTTCGCCTTTCCTTTCAAGTCCTTCCCTTCTCCACTCTTCATTGACATAATTTTGCCTAGCTCCTGTCGAAACCACCTGCCAGTCTTGGTTGTCTTCGATCCAGAAGGAGTAGGTGCTGGCCTTGCTTCACTACCAGTGTCAGATTCACTAGCGTTAGTGCTTAGGTACATGAGATAGTCACGGTCAGCGAGAGGATTTTTCCAGTCTTCAGTAGTGGGAAAGTCTCATCCTCCTTCAATCGGTGGTGGAGCTTCATGAAGATCAGCAATGGGGTTCTCTTCATGTTCAGAGGTGAGAGATACATCATCTTTTTCAGGTTGTTCATCATCTGAAGAGAGATCTAGGGGAGTGTGTACGCTATTTCCAAGGTAGAAGTCTCCTTGTTCCTCTCTTAGCTTTTGGGCAAATTCTTTCTGCTGTTTAGTTTGCAGACGTGTGACTGGCCTTTGGGATGCCATGATTAAACAGTTTCTGAGTTTCAGAGGAAGAATGCGTTTGTGTGAGTTTTGTGCTTACAACTCACGTCCTTTTATAGCTGAGATTTGATGATGTTTAGCATTGAATATTGTGAGCATTGAATGACCATTCAATGTCTTTACGTTATTCATCGAGCCATTTATTTTGATTTTGACACAGACACAAGATTTCATAGGGTTCTGTGCACCAGTTATGTTTCGATTCTCAACAAGATAAAATAAATCAAATAAAGATTTATCTCTCTATGAGCATAAGATTTGAACATAATAAACCATATTTTATTCCAAGGCGAAGAATAACACATTACATCTTAAAATATTTTTAGAAGACTCTACTTCTTCTCTTTTCCTTTCTTCGCCTTACTGGGTTCCCCCTCATCCTTTCTGGTTTTCTTCTTTAGTGTTGAAGGGTCAGGACGAGATGAGCCAACAGCGGATTCTTTTTCGGCAAAAGGGTCTTCCTCTGGATATCCGAAAAGTTCGGATTTGCAGTCATATATTCTGAAGAAGCTACGAAGATCCTTGTCCAAGTGTGGATCATTCCCGGTTCTATCAGATAAGAATCCCTTTCTGACGATAAGAAGAAGTTCTTCTTTCGGATCTGCCTTTGAAGGTTCTTCTTCAGATTCATATGTGATGAATCCATCATAGTGGCTGAGGTTTGAGTCTGATGATACGTCCAATGGAGCTCTCATGCTGTTTCCTGGATAAAGATCACCTTGTTCTTCTCGAACCAGGCGATCCCTTTCCTTGATCCTCCTTGTAGCATCTCTAGTAATGGGTTTACGAGGTGCCATTGTAGAAAAATTTTGAGATGTTGATGATGAACCATTGCTAATAACCTCCTTTTATAGCCAGGACTTGATGTATCCATTCAATGTATATATCCTCTTTTTCAGCATATCACTGATATCCATGATGGAAACTTTAATTACATTCTGATGTATGGTTGACGTGTCCTCCATAGATTGGTGAAATAAGCATCTTGTCAGAATCAGAGAAATTAATTCTCGTGATTTTTGTAGCTGATTGGGGACTTAGCATTTAAGACCATAATATTCTTCATGACCCTTAAGTTCAATTTTGACCATCTAGAGATGTGTCATTTCAGAATTCAATTAGGTCATTGACTAGATGTGCATGTGGTTTAGCACTTTGAGATCTTAGTCAAGAGATATAT